TTTCCCTGGCTCAGGTTGTCTCAGTCTTTGTTTGCACTCTTTGCCTCATCTCTGGCCATCTCCTTGGTCTTTGCCATCATCCCCCTGTGCCACAATGTGGTGGTCCTGGCTGTGGTCATGGCCATGGCAGGACTGGCCATGGGTTGCATCGACACCATCTCCAACATGCAGCTGGTGAAGATCTACCAGAAGGACTCGGCCATCTTCCTGCAGGTGAGCCTGGAGCCACATCCCCCCTCTGGCTGTGCTTCCTCCTCCGAGGAAGAGGAGGGACTGGCCTGGCCAGCCTCCCTGCAGCACCCGCCGGTGCTCTACGTGCCCACCTCCATCTCTTGCAGGCCCTTCATTTCTTCGTGGGCTTTGGGGCTCTGCTCAGCCCACTGATAGCTGACCCCTTCCTCTCAGACACCAACTGCATCCTCTCCAACTCCACGGCCAACGCCTCCAGCAACCTCCCCCACATCCGCAAGTCGCTGCTCCCGCACCACCCGGGCAACCTGTCCCACTACGACCTGCCCATGAAGGGCATGGTGGTCACACGTGTCTCCTACGCCTTCTGGATCATGGCCCTCATCAACGTAAGTGCTGCACCTGTCCCCAGCTGGGGACACCCCTGCTCCTCAGCCTTGGGGGTGCTGGTGCCTGTTGGGTGGTCCCAGCCAGGGAAGGAGGCCTGAGGGTGGCTGGGGGGGTTCATTTTTTTTTTCCCCCAAATGCCCAGTTTTCAGGTGGCACCTTGGCCAGGAGGGCAGGACTCTGGAGCTGGGCCAGTGGCTGCTGCACAGTCTGATGTGACAGGGCTGATGTCCCATCCTGTGGGATTGCTCTGATCTCTGGGGAAGCAGGTTGTAGCTCCAGTGGCCCCCTGGGCAGGAGTTACACCTCTCTCTATATTATATAACCTATAATTATACCTATAAATAACTGCACTCAGAGCCAGAGGGTCTTTCTCCATGCTCACTCTGGGGAGGAGCTCAGTGGGGTGGGGGTGGCTTGGCAGGAGGGTGATTCCCAGTGACATTCATGGGGAAGTGCCTGTGGATGGTCTGAGTTTCTGGGGCTGGAAGCCTGATCAGGAGTCTCTGCCTATTCACTGTGTTTCCCTGGTGATTTGCAGCAGATGTAGAAGCCCCGTGGCCCCTCCTCTGTGAGAGGCCCATCTTCTTTCTCTGCCCTGCTGAATCCCACAGCTGATCTCCAGCAAGAAGCCTGCAGGCTCTCCCTTTGAAAGGTGCCCCAATTCTTTACCCCCTAATTAATACCCAAATCCCAGCAGGGTTCAATACAGCTGGTCCCTTGCCCAGCCTCCCTGGGCTGTGGCTGTGCCCACGCCTGTCCCCAGCTCTCTGCAGCAGAGCTAGATAAGCTGCTGCTGTCACCTCCCTGGTGGCACCAGCCCTGGGAGCGGGTGGGTGATTGTCCGAGTAGATCTGGACTGAGAGCAGAGGAGCCTGTGGTTGCATAAGGATTCCTGGTGCTCCTTCTCCCTGTCCCAGCCCAAGGAGCAGCCCCTGACCTCCCTCCACTCCATCTGCACCAGGTCTTTAGGGTGCTCTTGGAATTCCCATTTGTCTGTGACTCCAGCAGTGCCCAACCCAGGGGCTTGTGCTGGGGCCGGGCAGGTCACTGGTGTGGGGGGCAGAGCAGCCCCCGAGCTCCTGGGGCTGCAATGAGCTGCTCTGCTGAGCCACCAGAGAGGCTGCTCCCTGCCCAGGGGGAGAAGCAGCTTAATTACCTCTGACTGCGGCGAATGCCGTGGGAAATGTGCTTTTAATTATGCCAGAGTGTTATCTATTTTGCCAGTCAATCTTGAGAAAACTAATTTAATTTTGAAGGCAACATTTTAATATCTGCTTTGAACACCACGACGTGTCTGGTGATCTGGAGCAGTGGTGGGAGGGTGGTTGTCAGACCCCTCTCTGTTCCTGTTGGTGTCTCGTGGGCATTTTGGGAGCAGGATGGGACCCTCAGCTGGTCCCACCGTGTCCACAGCAGGTTGTGAGCTGGGCTGGTGCATCACTGCACACCCAAGGGCTGTTTGCAGGTGTGGGATCCCCAGGAACACTGCAGGGAGTCCCAGGATGCTGGGAGCCTGATGGGTTTTGTGATGAGGATTAGGTAATAAATAGGAGTGGTGAGTTGGACATCTCTGGAGTGTGTGTCCTTGCCAAAGCTGAGCTGTTATTGTCCTTCCCAAAGCCTCACTGAGCTGACTCGATTCCTTGTTCCAACTAAATAACCCCCTGACTGGAGAGACTGGGAGCAGCTCAGCTCCAAAACTGCTGACCCTTCTCTAAGGTGTAAATGGCAGAGGAAAATGATGATAATTAGTATTTAAAACCCCAGGGAAGTGGATGAAATGAGTAAGCTCCAGAAATGGAAACCAGGACCAGCAACTTTGTTATAAAATGGTCAAAACTACATTTCCATCCCAGTTTTCTGACAAGCTGAAATGATTAATTTCCATTTCTTGCTTTGTTTAAAGTGGAAATGTCTCCATTTGACTTTGGCAGAACTGCCATGTGTAAAGCTGACAGAACAGTTGTGTCCATGGTATTGAAGCAAAACATCTTTGATTTAGTAAAATGAAGTGGTTCAACATTATCAAAATGAAGTGCTTGGCTGATTCCTGGCCAAAATTCTTCATTCTGAAAGAAAAAATTGGCTTTTTTTAATCCGGATTTGGAACAAAAAAACATATTTTAAAAACCAGTTTCCCACAGAACGGAAATTTCATCATCCAGCCCATTCCAAGGGGCTGGAAATCAGGGAAATGTTCCTCTGAGAGGGACGTGTTTGTCCGGAAGGTGGTTTCCCAGGGGAAGTGTGGGACACTCCATTGTGCTTAGGTTGCAGGGATACAATAGCAGAGACTGGTCCCGTGCTCCTGGGGGGGAGAGACTGAAATAGAAACTGGAGGGAAGGAGCCTGGATTATACCCCTGCTGGATGGTGTGATGCAGCAAGTTGTTGAGTTTATAATAATGGTTTAAAGCTGCCAAGGGGAGGGGAACATTCCCAGGGATTTGGTGAGCGGAGCTGGAGCAGCAGTGGTGGGGCTGGGGCTGCCCCTGAGCCCTCAGCCCCTGCCAGCTCCCAGCAGGGTGCTCAGGTGCTCAGTCTCCTCCTTAGAAAATAAAGAAAAGCAGAGCTGCCCTGGGAAGAAATCCCAGGAGCAAATGGTTATCCCGAATCACTGCTGGCTCCAGGGGGAGGGCTGCTCAGAGGTGGGGGCTGGAGGTGGCCAGCTTGGTGTGGTTGGGATGTTGTGGGGCATCATCAACCCTGCAGGGCTTTGAGGAGCAGTGTCCTCATTTTGGGGGCTGTGTCTCCTCTCTGGCTCTCACTGTCTGGGCTCCCTGCAGGGTGGGAAGGCTCTGACAGCCCTTTGCCTGGTGCCCAGCACCTCGTGTCAGCCTCCAGAAAACTGAAGCTGCTGTAGGAGCTGAGCAGCAAGATCCTGTCCCTAGGAGCCTTGGCAAGTGTCCTGGCTCAGGGGGGTTCAAGGCTCATCTTTGCCACCCCAGCTCTCTGGGGATGGGGACAGGGGCTCAACACCCACCCAGCAGCCCTGTGCTCATGTGGGACAGTCCTCAGCTTGTCCTTGTCCTGTGGCTGGGGGAGGCTGCTCCTCTGGGATGGATTTGTCCCTTTGCTCAGTGGAAAGTGCCCTGGCAGGGCCCTGGTGTCTGGCTCTGTTTGCTCCTCCCCATCTGCCCCTCTGATAACTTGAGCTGCTGTCGTGGCTGCTCCATCCCCTCTGCACAGCCTGGTTTATGGCCAGCCCTTCCTGGGGGCCAGGTGGCCACAGGTGACTGTCCCCTCAAGGCTCATCTTTGCCACCCCAGCTCTCTGGGGATGGGGACAGGGGCTCAACACCCACCCAGCAGCCCTGTGCTCATGTGGGACAGTCCTCAGCTTGTCCTTGTCCTGTGGCTGGGGGAGGCTGCTCCTCTGGGATGGATTTGTCCCTTTGCTCAGTGGAAAGTGCCCTGGCAGGGCCCTGGTGTCTGGCTCTGTTTGCTCCTCCCCATCTGCCCCTCTGATAACTTGAGCTGCTGGGGTGGCTGCTCCATCCCCTCTGCACAGCCTGGTTTATGGCCAGCCCTTCCTGGGGGCCAGGTGGCCACAGGTGACTGTCCCCAAGGCAATTACCCAGCCAGTGTTGCAGGAGACAGGGCTGAGAACCTGCTTTTTCTTGAGCTTGATCCTTTGCTTCTCTTGACCTTTCCTTGAGGCTGTGGCTGCCCATGGGTGTTTGGCCATGGCTGAGTCTCCAGCTTTTGGGCATTTCCTGCCAGAAAAGGCCAGGGCTGGGGAGCAGCTCATGGGGCTGGTGGGGTCAGAGCTCCCAAGGTGCTGCCAGCCTCAGGGTGATCCAGTCTGGGTACAGCAAAAGGGACCCGTGTGCTTTGGAGGGGGGGATCTGGGGAGCAGGGACAAGCCTGTGGTTTGAGTGGGAACTGGGGGAGTCCAGAGCTGGGGCCCCTTTCTACGTAGACACCGAGTGCTCCTTAAGGCTGGAAGTGCCCAGAGACACTATCTGTAGGGCCAGGCCCTCTGCGTGGGTATTTTTTTTTTGCAAAATCTGCAATTTAGAAGAATAAAAACTGTTCCTGACCTCCGGAAGGATCAGAACTATCAAGCAAATGCGTTTTTCTTCCATGGGACCGAACTAACTGTTCCTATTCCCATTGTTCCCAGAACAATGAAGTCCTCATAAATGAATTCAGGCAAGAGAGGCAGGGGGGGGTGTGTGGAGGGAATTCTCCATACATTTAAATCATGCCACGAGCCAACAAAAAGCAGGAAATGTGGAGCTGGAGCCCGTGCCTGCTCACAGACGTGTGGAAAACAAGCGCAGGGTGGCTGGAGAGGCAGCTCTCACTGAGGATTTCCTGGCTTTCTCCCCCAGTTTGTTGCAGAATAAACACCACTTGGTTGTGGTGGGAGGAGGAGGGAGGGCTGGGGGCAACCTGGGCTTCAGTTGCTCCCTTCTGTTTTCTCTTCAGAAAAAACAACAACAAAGAGCAAGTCCCTCCGGGCCCTGCGGGTGGGAGAGGGAGCAGGAGCAGGAGCAGGAATAGGAGCAGGAACAGGAGCAGGAGCAGGAACAGGAGCAGGAGCAGGAACAGGAACAGGAGCAGGAGCAGGAACAGGAGCAGGAATAGGAGCAGGAACAGGAGCAGGAGCAGGAGCAGGCTGGTCCCCGGGCACATGGCAGGGAGGGGGGACAGTGCTGTTGGGCCTGGCATCTGTGGTATCTGCCATGGGATGGATCCAGTGGGAATCACAGGATCTGAGGGGTTGGAAGGGACCTGGAAAGCTCCCCCAGCCCAACCCCCCTGCCAGAGCAGGGGCACCCAGAGCACATCACACAGGAACGTGGCCAGGGGGGTTGGAATGTCTCCAGAGAAGGAGACTCCACAGCCTCTCTGGGCAGCCTGGCCCAGGGCTCTGTCACTCTCACAGCAAAGAAGTTCTTCCTGAGATTCCCATGGAACCTCCTGGGCTCCAGTTTGCACCCACTGCCCCTTGTCCTGTCACTGGACATCACTGCACAAAGCCTGGCTCTGCCCTCCTGACACTGCCCTGAACAGATTTGTGCCCATGGATGAGGTGGCCCCTCAGTCTCCTCTTCTCCAAGCCCAACAGACCCAGCTCCCTCAGCCTTTCCTCAGCAGGGAGATGTTCCCCTCCCTTAAAATGTCCAGGCCCACAGTCCCTGTGGGTATTGGCACAGGTGAAGCCCTGGCTGCAGGGAATGGTGCTGGTGGGACTGGGATGTGCTGGGAGAACAGCATCCCTGGGTGCAGGGGGGTCTGTGGCTGTCACAGGAGAACTTTGTCTGGAGGGTCCTTGCTCACCAGGTGTCCTTGCTCATCAGCTGGGGCCGTTGGCCTGGGAACCACTTACCAGGTGCCAAGCAACCCCTGCTCATGGCTGGAGAGGGGCAGAGCTTGCTCTTCCCTCACGGGAACTGCAGCCACAGAAGGTCTCCCAGTCAGGCTGTTCTGCTCTTTGCAGGGAAAAGCTGCTTTATTATTGTCATTCTTTGGGCAGAAGGTGGGAAATGCTGGGAGAGCAGAACGTTTCAGTTCTGAAAGGCAGCTTTGGTGCTTCACCAGGTTTGCATTTAGGTGCCTTCTGTGTCCCTGTCCCTGCTCCTAGGTGAATGGTCCCCAGCCCTGGCATCCCACAGGGACTGGCAGGAGGTGCCCTGGCCATGCTCTGGATTAGGACTCTTGGCTTTCAACATGTTTTCTTTATTTTTTCCTCCCCTCCTACTAGTTCTAACAACCTCCACCCTTCCTGGTGGCTCCTTGCTCTGCTCTCAGCCTCTCCCCTTGCTCGTGGAGGTTAATTCTGCAGGTGCCAAGAGCAGCTTCCTAAAAGGCCCTCGTGCCCAGGGAATGGGGCTGTGTCATGTGTGAGGCTCCTGGTCCTTACCTGCCCCTCTCTGCTCCTCCCCAGCTGCCTGTCCCCATCGCAGTGTTTCTCCTGCTCTACAAGGAGAGGATGGTTCCCTGCTTCCCCAGCTCCAGCCACCCCCTGCTCTCAGCCGACGAGCTGGCGATGGAGACGCGGCCCCCGGACAAGGAGGATCTCCCCACCAGCACCACACAGAGACCACAGGCAGCAGGAGGTGAGCTGGGGGCACCTCTGGTGGGTTTGGAGGAACATGGGGGGGAGCACAGGGAGAAAAAGCCGTATTTCTGAGGGCCTCTGTTGAGTTTAACCAGCAGGATCCATCGCTGCGAAGGAGGAAACTTTCCAAAACATACACATTAATGTAATCAAGAAGTACCCAAACAATCCAATTTGGTGCCCAATTGCCCTCCAATTAGATGGGACCTGAACAGAGATTAGCATCCTGCTGTTTGGACTCCAGGCTGCCCTGAAATTAGACCTGGGCTCCCAAGTTGTTTAAGCACACGTGAAAGTTGTGGCTCTTCATCTCCTCCTGATTTTGGGGCAGGTTTTGAGCTGGCTCTGCCAACTGCTCAGTTTAAGAATCAGAAAACTCTGGTTTTCATACATCTGAAAGGAATAAGGACACTGCCCTTGTTGAGGGGCAAGTTAAATGCCAGCAATAGTTTGCTCTTGAACTTGTGACTACACCCTGTTTTGGGGACAATAGTGGCATTGTTCTTTGCTACCCAAGAGAAACATATCAAAGGAAATTCTTCAGCTGAATAGAGAATCTCAGAAGTAATAATAATTTAGGGTTATCAGAGGAGTGTTTTGTGTTATTACAGAAGAGGTGGCTTTACCTGAACAATAAGAGGAAATGTTAGGGAATATTCAAAGGCAGGTGGGGATGTGGTGAGTGAGGTGCTGCTCTAGGTGTCCCTGACAGGGTGGGTTCTCTGCTGTCAGATACAGTTGTGCTCATCTGGTAGCATTTCCCTTAGCTGAAACATTGGGTTCTTTCCTCAACCCCACTGCCTGTTTTCACACAACCCACTGGAGCTTCCTTTTCTTCAGATCTCCATCTTCCTCTTAAACACAGTTGAGATTTATCCTTAGAGAAGCAGGAAGGCTGTGCTGCCATCCTGCACAGCCATGGCTGTGCTGGCAAAATCCCTCCTGCCCCATACAGGTAGTGAGAATTCCATCTTTGCTGTGCAGGAGCAACTGTCTCACCTGCACAGGACTCCAGGTGCTGTGACCTTCACACCAGCCCCAGATTTGAGCACAAGAATGGGACAGTGAGGAATTCCTGGGGTCCTGACCCCCAGCTTTGCCAGGCTGTGGCTCCCAGTCATCTATTCAGAGGAGGCAACACTAGCAGTGTGTTTATCACCTCTCTCCTGAGTTTGGCTTGTTCAGTTATCATTTGTCTGAGGGATGGGAGGTGTCTTGGGCAGGACTCTGCTGTGTGGTGGCACCAAGGACTGAGGGGCTCAGAGCATGACTGCTCCCAGCAAAGGGGCTTGTTGCTATTGCTTGTAAGAAGGGGCCAGCAAAGTGTTGCTCCTAAATGGGAAGAGAAGCACAAGCAGCTACTGTAAGAGAAGTAGCCAGTGTCCCAGAGAGCCCAGTCTGTGGCCAGCAGCCCATAAGCACATCTGTCTTCCTTCTGAAAGTGTAGAGGGAGGTTAAAGAAAGAGGTTGTGCCAGCAGGGGTTAGCAGGTTAGCAGTGCTCCACCTTGGTCACCCTCCTCTATGAATCTCTGTCTTGCAGCTGAGCACAAAACAACCCCCTGTTGGGCTGGCACCCACCCAGCCCCAGGGGGACCTTCCAGCTAAGTTTGCTTTGCATTGTTTTTCACCAGGTCATGATGACTTATTTAGCTGCTGCCAAAGCAAAAACTTCAGAGGGGCTTCTTACACCTACTTCGCAGTCCACATCACTGGGGCTCTTGTTCTCTTCATGACTGATGGGATTGTGGTGAGTTCAGCTGATAGAGGGATCTTGTCTGAGCAAAGCTTGATGGCTTTTCTTCCTCCTAAGTCACCTGGAACAGCCCAAGCCCAGCACAGTCCTCTGAGTGCAGTGGGCTGGACCTGAGGGTCTGCTGGTTCCCAAGGCAGCTCATTCAGAGCTCATCACAGTCAGGCTGGTACGTGCCCTGCTTCTTGGGAGAGTTTTGTGGCTTCTCCCAGGCTCTGTTGTTACAGTGAGGTGGCTACTGCTGCTAACCAGGCCAGTTTAGAGCTGGAGTTGTGATGTTGTCTCCTTGTGGGCAGTGGAGGGCTCTTCTCACTTCAGCCAAGGGGCAAGAACAGCTTCAGTTTATTTCCTAAGAAGTGGTGGCTCTTTGTTTGACCCATCTGAGCCCACAAAAGCCAGGAGGAGAACATGTGGGGGTGGTGCAGCCTCTCTGCAGTGGCCTGGCAGCATGTCCCATGGTCAGCACAGGCACACAGGGCTCCCCAGGGGTAGTACTGACCTTCTGTCCAGGCCAGGAAGTTTTGCTCTGGGCTGGCAAGTTGATGTTCTGTTTCTTTCAATAGTTTTGTCTCAGTTTCCCCCACACTAAAATACTGCTGGGACTTACTAGGGCATGAAATGGTCCTGAAAGATGAGCAGGGTTACACAAAGCAGCTGTTAGGAACTTTCCAGAGCCTCCATCTTCAGGGATGATCACCTCCAGGTTCTTTAATGTGCTAAGTTTTGAGTCTATGCAATCCCAAAAGGCAAGGCAGTCCCTAGGGAACAGAGCATCTCTACAGCTAGGAGCTCAGGGTGTGTTTTCCCTGGTATTGCTGTCAACTCTTGCCCTTGTAGGAGACCTTAAGCCCCTCTGCTTTTGGTGGGAGCTTGTCTGCAGCTGCCAACCCTTGGGAAGAAGGGTCATGGAGGTGTGGTAGCAAATCCATAGGTGGGCTCACCAGCACTATCACAGTGACTATTTGAGGGCCAGGTTGAAGTTGCAAAGCCCCAGCAATGTCAGCAGCTGTTTGTTTGCCCTGCAGGGAGAGTACTCGGGCTTCATCTACAGCTACGCGGTGGAGGAGCCGCTCTCCGTGGGACACAAGGTGGCCGGGTACCTGCCCAGCCTCTTCTGGGGCTTCATCACCCTGGGCAGGCTCATCTCCATCCCCGTGTCCTACCGAGTGAAGCCAGCCACCATGGTCTTCATCAACGTGGTAAGGCTGGGGCACTGTGGTCTCCTTGGCCCTGTCCAGCTGTGGCTGGGGCTGCTGGGGCAGCTGAGATTCACAGCTTGGGTTGACACTGGTTTTCTGAGCTTGCTCCTCAGCTAATCCAACATGAAGTCTGTGAAAACACCTAGTAAAGTGTCTTCCAACTTCATTTACTGTGCAGACTGTCTTCTCTGGCAGCTACAGGGGAATTTACTGCCTGTGTTAGCCATGGGAAAGAGGCAGATTGTGCAGTAAACTCTCCTTAGACTGTAGCAGCTGCCAAAGAAACCACCGTGGTGTGAGGTTGCCTAAATTAATAGAGCACATTCACTTGAAGAAAGGGGAAGGAATCCTTTAAGGAAATGTAGGAAAGATGCATGTTAAGGATGTGCAGGCAGCAGGGAGGGAGCTGCTCCCATTCACACTTCTTGCCAAAGGAGAAAAGAAAAAAGGCAAACAAAGAAACCAAATGAGATGCACCAGTGGAGTCATTTCAGCAATTAACTGCAGTTAGAATTCCCTGTCTTTAGAATCCGTAAGGGCCTGATCAAGGCAGGACAAGTGGCTTGTGATGGTTTTGCAGAGCTCCCTCTGCTGGGGTCGAGTTCCTCAGCTCGGGTCCCCCTGCCCTGCTCGCTGCTCCAGCCGGAGCTGCCCCCTCTGGGCAGACACAGTGAGGGAAGAAGACTTAGAGAGGCTGGTGCTGGTGTTTTCTCACAGGTAATTAGCGATGGAACAAGAGGGAAGGGCTTCAAGCTGTAACAGAGGAGGTTTGGACTGGACATTAGGAACAAAATGTTTGGCCACTGGAACAGGCTGTCCAGGGAGGTGGTGGGGTCACCATCCCTGGAGGTGTTTAAGGGTCTTTGGATGTGGTGTTGGTGGAGATGGGTTAGGGGAGAACTTTGTAGAGTAGGGATGATGGTTGGACTCAGTGATCCCAAGGGGTTTTTCCAACCTGAAAGGTTCTATGATTCTATTGAGACATGGAAGTAGGATGGCAGCAGCAGTCCTGTTGGATTTAAAGCTGCAGAGAAGAAGTATTTTTTTAAACACCACTCTAAGTCTCTACCTAATGAAGTTGAGGCTTAACTACCAAGCTGGGTCATGAAGTCCTTTTATAAAAAGTACCAAATTCTTTGGTACTTTGGATTTGCTTTGGTTACTTAGTTTTCTAGAGACCACAATGTTTTTTCAGTAGTTTATTTTATTTTCCAGATTATTTGCTACAAAAAAAAAACCCAAACAAACAAATCTGGAGCCTATTGCAACTCAGCATCTACTTCCCTACTGAGTCTGTGTGTGTTGTTCACAGGTTGGAGTCCTGATCACCTTCCTCCTGCTCCTGATTTTCTCCTACAGCGTCGTGTTCCTGTGTGTGGGGACAGCAGCCCTGGGGCTGTTCCTCAGCAGCACCTTCCCCAGCATGCTGGCCTACACTGAGGACATCCTGCAGTACAAAGGTGAGCTGCCATCCAGGCACTCCTGGTGGGCTTGGGAAAACCAGGGGTTGTTCAAGGGCTCAGATACCATCACGCCTGCTTTGGTGTTTATTTAAGCTTGTAGTCAGAAAATCAGACTGCACAAATCCCAGCTTCATTGTACTAATAACTCCTCCAGGCAGGGATCCAGCCTGGTTCTTGGCTTCCTGGGCACTGAGAGGAATGTCTGCTCTAGAGACTTACAGGGAGCTGGTTTTGGAAACATCACCCAGATGATCAGTGAACTGAAAACCCCCAAGTTTGGCCAGCACTTACAGGTCCCTGCCAAGCTGGGTCTTTGGGACAGTGATATGGAAGGATTAACATCTTTCCAAGAAGAAGCAACATCATCTCTGCCAACAGAGACAAGTGACAGAACCAGAGATGGTTTTTTGGCTTGAACTTTGACCTTTCTGCAGCACCACAGGTCAGAAGAGGCATTCTCAAGACTAGATAGCACCACACGCTAAGTGTTGGTAAAGCTTGTATGGATTGATCATGGAAGAGCAGTTTAAAGAAGCTACAGGCTGATCCTGCTGGTACTTTCACCTGTTCCCTGCCAGCATCACTCACCCTGTTCCTTTGCAGGCTGTGCCACAACCGTGCTGGTGACTGGAGCTGGAATTGGAGAGATGGTGCTACAGTTACTGGTGGGATCGGTAAGTGCAGGCAGGTCCCAGCCCTGGCTGGGCAGAGCTGCTGGAGAAGAGCACAGCATCTCCCAGCAGTGAGGCCCTCACTGAGGGCTGATGGGGCAGGAGGGTTACACTGACATCTCTGTTCCCTTTCTCCCTCCATTTGCAGATTATACATGATCAGGGCAGCTACAGTTTCCTGGTCTGTGGGATGATCTTTGGAGGCCTGGCCTTTACCTTCTACGCCTTCCTCTTGTTTTTCCACAGGATGTACCCTAAGCCCTCATCAGGTAAGAAAGCACCAGCACTCAGCCCTGCTTCATCATCAGAGGAAGAGTGGCACATGCTCCACTCCATGGCCAGGCTTGCAGCACTCCAGCAAAATGCAAGGAAATGTTTATTTTACTCCTGCTTCCCGTCCCCTCTTCCTGCTTTGACTTGCCCATGAAGCCTTGGCAGCCACAACTCAGGCTTTGCTTGTTTTTTTCTGTTGGAGAGGCAAGGGAAAAGTAGGAATGGTGTGTGAATCACAGAGGAATGATAAAGCACATAAGACAGTAGCTGTGAAAGCCCTGCTGTGCCATGGCAGGACTGGCAGGAGTAAGTACAGACTGCATGAGCTTCCCTACATTCCTACACTGTTCCCTGGCTAAAATCCAGGGAGTAAGTGGGTCTGCCATCCAAAGGCAGCTGTCAGGCTCTTGAGAAGAGCCTCACTGATAAAGGATTTCTCTCACAGTTTGCCTCAGGCTGCAGACACTACTGGCTTTTATAAGCACCTTTTGTAAGAGGAGCACTGCATGATGGGCAGAAAAATTATTCAGGTTACTGGAAATGGAGGCCTTTTTATTCCATGACCAGTGAAGTAAACTGGGTAGTGTGGTGGGGGGATAGAAGAGCAATGTCCATGTCTGGGAGAGCTGGGGCATATTCCCTTCAAATGGAATCTTAGAATGCACTGGGTTGGAAGGGACCCTTAAAGGCCATCTAGTCCAGCCCCCCTGCAGCAAGCAGGGAAACTCCAGCAATTATTAACACCTCCATAGGGATGGTAATTCAAAATGGTTACCTTCCCAAACTTGGTCCTGCAAAGTTAATGGGACCAAAAAAAAGCCTCTTCAGCCCTCCTTAATACCTCAAAGTTGTTTGACCCATATAGCCCTTGATATTTCCCAGAGCTAATGGAATGGTTATGTATATTTTTATACATTTGTGTGTGTGTTTGTGTATGCATGTGCACACAAACACCCCCAGTACCTTCAGCTGAAGACTCCATGTCCATTTTGCAGATCTGGATGATGTCTCCCCTGACAAACCAGCAGTGATGGAGGACACTGGGCAGTACCAGCGCTGAGGACGTGGTCAAGGCTCTAGACAAGCAATAAAGAACACACAGTTAAGCATTTCTATTAAGGATGATTTCACATTTAATGACTGAATCATGCAAGTTCTCTGCAATCAAAAGCACATGGGACTGGGTAAGTCAGAATCAAGGAAACATCCTGACACTGCATCGAGCTAAACACGAGCTGCCTGTGCCACACCTGCCAAAAAGAAGAATGAGCATCAGCCTGACCCCCTGGTGAAGGGCTGTGGGGTTTGGCAGGGCTGAGGGGAACAGCCCCCCCCTGCAAATGAACTTTCTTACCAATTCAGGATGGAGGGTGGGAAGGGATTCTCTCTGTTCCAAAGGTAAGGCTGAGATCTCCTGGCTTAGTCATTGAACTCAACAGATTGTCCCTTTGGCCTGGGAGGTGCAGAAGCCCCTACAATGAGCAACAGAAGCCTGGGTTTGAATTAAGTTTTGTGCAACACTGACTTGAGCATCTGTCACCTTCATGAAGACTCCCACGGGGGGGGAATAAACTGCACAACTGGTGGAGCTCCCCAGGTGCACAGTGGTAGCAGGACCTGTTGATATTTGCACAGTTGATTCTTGTATATGACACAGACATGTTCACTGAGACAGTGTCTGTCCAGCATGCTTGGGCCTCTTGATTATTAAAATCATTAGCTTTATTATTATTTTTTTTAAGAGAAGTCAAGAATGACTCATGGTTTGGTTTTTTTTGCTTTAAGTCACCAGTTCAGCTGCTCCAGTTGCAGTCTCTTTTGAGGGTGGTTTTATTTCTAGCTTCCAGTTGAAGCTTAAACAGGTATTTGGGAGCCAGTCCCCAGCTGCTTTATCTGTGCAATATTGAGGATACAGGTGCCTTCTGCAAGGTACTCACACCCACTCATGGCCTGTTACAAGCTCTGAAGAAAGGACTGGCTTTAGCAGAGTGCAAAGTCCCCACAGCTGTTTCTTCAGTGAGTGATTGGACATGGATTTTGGTTTTTTTGCTGTAACTGCTGTACGTGGATGTACATATGTATGTGTGTATATAGAGCAGTGATTAATTAAAGGTGGTTGATTGCTAGACTGGACTTGGGTAACTTCAGCTGTTTCTGGCCAGGACTATCAGCTAAGTAATAAATTATCATCATATACTTGTAATATTAATATAAATTGTTAATTAGTTAGCTAATTATTTAACAACTTCACCAGTTCTGGCTTTTGAACTCAGCCTGACTCTACCAGCTGTTTGAACTTAAAACTGTCCTCAGCATTTTTATTTTTCCAAGCAGTAGATCTTACCTTCCAGAAAGTGTCTTCACAAGGCTCTGCAGAAGTCTCAGGACAAGCAGCCTGGGTGAGCTGACCCTGGGTGAGGGCACAGGAGGCGGGTCCAGGAAGGAGGTAACTGCAGCTGCATCCTGGGCTGAACTCACCCCTGAGCAGCCTGTGCTGCAGTTCTTCCCTGGCACCACAGGATGACACTGTTACTCTGGGAGAGATCCCGAATGAAGAAAGTGTGTCCTGCAAAACCCATTTGCAGCCAAAACCACCCCCCGATCAGCCCTTAGCAGAGCCCCTCCCACCCTCCAGCGCTCCCATCCCTGTGCAGAGGAAACGAGCACAAACAACACAATGAGGGCGTTTATTTTGACAGAAGTCCCTCAGCTGACACAGATCTCACAGCAGGGACTGGCAGCTGTTAATAAAAAAAAGTAAGTATCTGGTTATGTCCTGGCAGGGTCACCAGCTAAAGGTGTTGCCAGGATCAGGTTTCCTTTGTTAGCCTGTCCTTAACAATCCAACTCTCCACCTTCCTATCAGCACCAGCTGGAGCCTGGAGTCACTCACCAAAGGAAATTCCCACCAGGAGAGACAATCCCTGAGGTGGCAAAAAAACCCCTAAGCTGTGCTACAGATCCAGCAAAGCCCCCATGGCAGGAGCTGGGAAGGGCCAGGTCAGCTCAGGGGATGGTAAATCCTCATCACCACCACCCTGAGCTGCTCTGCAGCTGCAACTTTCCATTTCCTCTACTGAAACAAACCCCAAAAAAACCCCAAGACAAACCAATCAAAAGATCCGAAACTTTGTTAAAAATATTTATTTAAAAAAATACAATTGTTTTGCATGTCTGGTTGCACATAACTATTAACATATGATTGACTTGAATAATTTGCTACAATGCTTTTTTTTTTTAAAGCCAGCTTGCATTATACAAAGCAAATCCCTCTGTCAGTTCTTACATAAAATAGTTTTCTTTAACTATTCCCACCCCATTTTTTAATTATTTTTTTTTTTTTAAAAAGATTGCAATACATTGATTTAATTTTTTTGTTTGTTTTGTTTTTGTTTTTTGCACATAAAAATTGAAGCAATAGAAAAGTCACCTGATTTCTCAGGAAAGACCTTCATGATGTTTGAATAACAACTGCCAACCTGCCACTCGTCCAAAGCAGCATTTGTTACTCTGAAGTGTCATTCCAGTGCACTTCCTCCAAAGTAAGTTTGGGGTTTTTTTTTTGCATCTTGGAACTTTGCCTCCAAAATTGTATTCAAACCTGAAATGTGTTCAAATAACTGCATATCTGCTGTAAATCAAGTTGATCAGCCTTGTCAGTATCAACACGCTGAAGGTCTTCCTAACGTGATCTTGGAAGGTTAAATAAAAGCAAATTTAGTAACACTGAACAATTACTGAAAACTTTGGCTATTTATGTACTTGCATTACATACCAGCATTTTATATTTATTTTTTTTAAACACAATGGCATTAAGATACTCTTATTATAAGGTGTTATTTTCAAATAAAGGTTAGACTGAGAAGCTGTTCTCTCCCAGGCAAGCTCACCCAGCTGCAACGAAGCGCTGCAGGTTCCAGCTGTCTGTAAAAGACAGTGTCTTGAAAAAGCCTCCAGTGCAGGAAGGTAAGACACTCACTACAACATAACTTGCTTTGTCTCTTGACTTGGTGCTATATATAAATATATATATATTTATAATTTTAAATGCAATTCTGTTCTGGAAAGAGTAGCAGAAAACACCGTCGCTGCTGCTTTCGCTAGAATTGTCATCACTAACAGTTCTACTAAAATCACAGGACAGTAAAATGGAATCCATTCCAGAATTAAAAAGTAAGTTAAGAGACATGAGTGTCTGCTCAGAGATGTCAGAGCTCCTGAAGTATAAAAAGCACTCCAGACATCACCTGGTTGATCTGCAAAGAACCCCGTTAACCTACAAAGCTCCATTAAGGAGTGAACACTAAAGGCATCAGAAAGTCACTTTCCAAAACAGATGTGCACCTCAAAAATAAACAGAAAAACTGTCACCACAGCTGGTTAGGTTGATTAGGTTCTCTAAATTTTAACTGAAACGACTCTATCTGACCACAGCTACAAAGCTGCACAGAGCAGTCTCAGCTGTTCTAAGTCAGAGCAGTTGCAGTGAAGCCAACAGATCTATTCCCATTCCCAACAGATCTATTCCCATTCTCAACAGTTCTATTCCCATTCCCAACAGATCTATTCCCATTCTCAACAGATCTATTCCCATTCTCAACAGATTTATCCCGTTTCCAACAGATCTATTCCCATGTCCAAGCTCCTGGCAAACAAGTCCCATCTGCCATCAGCTCCCTCGAAGATTCCCAGAATTCCCAAGACAAAGTCTCATGCTGGTTAACAATCCCTGTTCAGAGCTGCTTCAGTCCCAGATTAATTCCAGCTGTCTTAATACCCATGAGAGGAGACAACCCCTCTCCTTACCATACATGTTGCTAGATTCTTCCCCTTGATTCCTCTCTATTATTAAGAATACACTTCTCAGCTATAAAACAGAGGGGGAGGGGGACAGATAAGCAATAAATGTGCTACTGTACTTATCACAAACACTGTGAGGTACATAAGGCCATCTGGTAACACTGCAACAGATACAAACAAGATTTTTAAAAGGGAGGTTTTGGGGGTTTTTTTCTAGAATACAACTTTTTTTTAAAAAACTACAATGAATAATTTCAACCCTGTTCACAGAGAATTAACGTTAAAACTACTACATCATATATAGAAAACTCTGTGCAACTGAACAACAGCAGAACAAAAAGTCAACACAATTCTATAAAGCAGTTTTCAAAGCCTGAAGATTTAAGACATGCCAGCCAAAAAAAGAACACAACACATCTCAAGGAGCTTAGAGCAAATCCAGGTATTGTAACCCCCCTCCCACCCCCCCAGCACACAGCACACACTAGGAACCATGCAGAGGCCATCCTCAAACCCTCCTGTGGTCAAAAAAAAAATACCAACACAAAACAATCCCAAAAACCCCAAAGAAAACAAAAATAAAAAGCCAACAGGTTCCAGTTATTAGCACAGCACTACTGCACAGGCTGCTTGAGGACTGAGTGGGCTCCAAACACACCTTCCAGCCTCTCCTCCCTGTGCTGCTGGCAGTTCCTTCTGCATCTCCAGTAAAAGATCCCTGTTCCCCAAAGGTTCATATTTATCCTGTTAAACCCCCTGCCAAAAACCTTACTTTGAGATGAAAACCTTCTGCAACGCATGGTCTCACCAGAGAAGCAAGTGTTTTTCAGTACAAAGTCCAAACTTTTGTTCCATGAACATAAAACTACTCAAAGACACGTTTAAGACACTTTTCTCAGGAGATGTGGCATTCAACAATCTCAGCAATGCATTTAAAAATATCCTTTGGCAACTTATTAGTCCACACTGTGGTATAATTGATTCGAGTACTACACATTAAAAAAAAAAAAAAAAAAGCCCCAAAAAACCACACCAGCATGTGCAAAAAACATCTAGAACTGGCAGCTGCTCAGTGGTGCAGAAATTGCTCTGAGCATCCTGGGGAAGTGGTGTTTATCTAGAGCTGGAAGCCAGAGCAGGTACTGAACATCCATCCTGGCAGTGAGCACATGTGCACAGGGATGTTCACATGGAGAGAGAGCAAATCCACTCTCAGTTAATCATCTAAAAACAAGTTTTCAGCTCTCAAAGTATGATTTT